AGACATGGTCCTCATCAGTGCATGGCTTAATACCTCCAAAGATCCAGTCGTTGGAAATGAGCAAAAGTCAGGGACCTTTTGGAAGAGGATTACAGCTTACTACAACGCGAGTCCTAATGTGGTTGGTTTCACTACGAGAGAGCTGAGCCAGTGTAAGCAAAGGTGGGGAAAGATAAATGAAGGTGTCTGCAGGTTTGTGGGGTCATATGAAGCTGCATCGAAAGAGAGGATAGAGAGGGGCAGTGGCTGGAGTGAAGATGACGTCTTGGCGAAAGCACATACGATATACACTGAATGTTACCGTGGGAGGTTCGCAATGGAACACGCGTGGAGGGAGCTTAGGTATGATCAGAAGTGGTGTGGGAGTCAAGGAAGTAGTCAACAAAGCTCAGGTTCAAAAAGAAAGAGGGTTGGGGAAGAACATTCTTTTCAATCCTCAGCCAGTGTTAATGGGGAGGATGTATCAATGGATAGGCCTATTGGGGTTAAGGCTGCAAAGGCTAAAAATAAAATCCAGTGGGAGAAGAAGTTAAGATTCCAGAAGGGTTTAAGGATATGTGGGAGATGAAGGTCAGGGACTTAGCTTTCAAGGACAAGCTTAGCGACAAGAAGCTCCTTGAAAGTTTGATTTAAAAAAAAGAGCCACTTACTGATATAGAAGTGGCGCTTAAGCACAAACTGATAACCGAGTTGTATCCAATGTAATAGTAGTGTTCAATGTGTTCAATGTGTTCTTGCTTGTTTCAATGTTTTCAATGTTTTCAGTGTCTTATATATGTAGTATTTCTTTGTGTTCAATGTGTTCAATGTTTTCAATGTTTTCAGTGTCTTATATATGTAGTATTTCTTTGTGTTCAATGTTTAATATATGAATGTTTCTGTTCAATGTTTAATATATGAGTGTTTTTAATAACTAATGCGTCTCAATGTTTGTGTTTCAGGGTTTTACGACACACACCACCAGCAATGGAAGGAAGAAAACCAGTGGAGCTATCATGTGAGGAAGAAGCTGATATGGTGGAGTTATCAACTGAAGAATACAGAAGAAATATGGGCTACTTGACGAGGGTGGAAGAATTGGAAGAAGAGATTGAACTTGAGTTCAAAGCGATGCTGCAAAGACTGCAAGAGGAAGAGAAGAAGCTGAGAGAGGATAAGTTCAAGGCCATGAGGACGTCCATCAAATTAGAAGTAGGAATATCCTCTGAGGGTGATGGTAAGAAGAAAAAGAGAAGAAGATGAGAATGTTGGTGTCACAAGACTTGCTTGTTTCACGGAGGTCACAAGACTTGTTTGTTTCTATTTTGTTTCTTTGTGTCATTGTTCTCTTCCTTTTGTTTGTTGGTGTCACGGTTTCACTTTGTTGTCTTATTTGTTTGTTTGTTGGTGTCACGGTTTCACTTTGTCACAACAGTTTGTTGGTGTCACAAGACTTGTTTGTTTGTTGGTATCACAGTTTCACGTTGTCTTGCAAGAGTTACTCTATAAATGTAGCAATATCATCCATCATTCAACTCACACAACTCTGTTTCTCTCATTACACTTCAAGAACTTTTATTCTCTCATTTGATCATTCAGCTCACACAACTCTCCTTCTCTCATTACACTTCAAGAACTTTTATTCTCTCATTTGATCAAAAGCACAACTCTCTTAACTTTTGATCAACACTACAACTCTATACCAAAAAAAAAAAAAATTTCATATGGCTTCTTCTTCCCAAAATCCTTTTGATAGTGTGGATAGTGACAATATTGATGAAACACTTAATCAATATTTTGATGACCAATTTGATCAATATTTTGATCAGGTTTTTGATCAACAATTTGAGCAAACTTTCGAAAATCTGACCATAGCTTATGGTAATCAAGAAAAAGCGAAGAAACAAAGAAGAAAACGAGCTTATATCGAAAGAGACCGTGAAGAAGGGCATACTCGTTTATGGAACGATTATTTTAGTGAAACTCCAACGTATCCCCCAAATATGTTCCGGCGACGATTTCGAATGAACAGGCCGTTGTTCATGCATATTGTTGACCGACTCTCCACTGAAGTTGAATTCTTCAAAAAAAGGACGGATGCTCTCGGAAGGGGTAGTCTCTCTCCAGTACAAAAGTGTTCAGCCGCCATTCGTGTCTTGGCGTATGGGAGTGCGGCTGATGCTGTTGACGAATACCTCCGACTCGCTGAAAGTATTACCCGATCATGTGTGGAACATTTTGTGGAAAGCATAATATATTTATTTGGCGATGAGTACCTAAGAAGACCTACACCGGCTGATCTTCAACGTCTCCTTGATATTGGTGAGTATCGTGGATTCCCTGGGATGATAGGAAGCATCGATTGTATGCAGTGGGAGTGGAAGAATTGTCCAACCTCTTGGAAAGGTCAATATACACGTGGTTCGGGAAAGCCCACAATCGTTTTAGAGGCGGTTGCATCGTATGATCTATGGATATGGCACACATTTTTTGGACCTCCAGGTACTTTAAATGATATTAATGTTCTTGATCGCTCACATGTTTTTGATGACATAATAAACGGCAAAGCTCCCAAAGTCACATTCTCTGTCAATGGGAGAGAGTATCATATGGCTTACTATCTCACCGACGGTATTTATCCTAAATGGACAACTTTTATCCAATCAATTTCATTACCACAAGAGCCGAAAGCGGTTTTATTTGCTCAACATCAAGAAGCTGTCCGAAAATATGTCGAGCGTGCCTTTGGCGTTTTGCAAGCGCGGTTTGCCATTATTAAAAACCCAGCACTTTTTTGGGATAAAGGCAAAATTGGAAAGATAATTAGGGCATGTATCATTCTCCATAACATGATAGTAGAAGACGAACAAGATGGATACACTCAATATGATGTTTCAGAGTTCCAAGGAGGAGAAGCCGTCAGAAGTTCACAAGTTGATCTCACATTCTCTACTGATATCCCTTCAAATCTCGGCAATACGATGAATGTTCGAACTAGACTTCGTGATAAACATATGCATGAACAACTCAAAGCTGATTTGGTTGAACATGTATGGCGTAAATTCGGACGTGGTTCGGACACCAACCAAACTCTTATGTATCTTTCAAATTATTCTCGTTTATTTTTGTAATCTTAGTTTTAATGTTATTTCTATATTTAATGTTTAGTCTATTTTATTTTAATATGTTATATTTAATAAATAAAGTTTCTTACAAATATTTTAGTTTAATAATTTTTTTTCTTAAGAACCCTCAAATAAGAACCTCCATTGCAGCTAATAAAGTTAAATGTCTCTAAGCACAACCTCTTAACTATTTTAAATTACTAAAAAAACACTAAGAACCTAAATTAACCTCTTGGGGTTAATGATGCTCTTAGTGGCTAGGGAACTGTTATTTTTGTTCACGTATTATTTAAAGTGTTTTAGATCAAATAAACCTTAAAAGTAGTACATGTCAATATAAGCAGTTATATGTATAATTTAGAGTCAAATAAGCAGTTTAGATGTCGGGTATTTTTTTTAATTGGATCCAACAAATCAATAGGGCATATTGTTAATTTAATAGTATTGATGCATATCCCTTATCCCTTATATATTGGGGTTTTTGCAAAACCAACCTAAAATTTCAAGTCAAACACAAAACCAACCTCTTTTTTTTTGTCATTACTATTCACTCTTAAAAAACCTAAACTCTCCTCATGTTTCCACCTATTTACCAAATTGCCATTATTTTTAAATCTGATTTTATTTTCGAAAATTATAAAAAACCTATTACACCCTAAACATTTCTCCTT